AGACTGATCCGGTCGCCTTGCTCGTTTTGCCTAAGACATTGAACTGGGGCTGGAAATGAGGTCTTCGAGACTGATCTGGTCGCCTTGCTCATTTGCCTAAGACATTGAACTGGGGCTGGAAATGAGGTCCTCCAGAGTCCAGACTGATCCGGTCGCCTTGCTCGTTTTGCCTAAGACATTGAACTGGGGCTGGAAATGAGGTCNACTGGGGCTGGAAATGAGGTCCTCCAGAGTCCAGACTGATCCGGTCGCCTTGCTCGTTTTGCCTAAGACATTGAACTGGGGCTGGAAATGAGGTCCTCCAGACCTATCCGGTCGCCTTGCTTGTTCGCCTAAGACATTGAACTTGGGTTGGAGATGAGGTCCTCGTGACTGATCCGATCGCCTTGCTCGTTTTGCCTAAGGCATTGAACTGGGGTTGGAAATGAGGTCCTCTAGACTGATCCGGTCGCCTTGCTCGTTTTGCTTAAGACATTAAACTTGGGGTGGAAATGAGGTCCTCCAGACTGATCCGGTTGCCTTGCTTGTTTGCCTAATACATTGAACTGGTGTTGGAAGTGAAGTCGTTTTGACTGATTCGGCCGCCTTGTCGAGTTAGTCAGTTTTGCTTGTTGACAAAGGTCTGAGTATTCTCTTTGTGAGAATAGTCCAGACTAGTGTATTAGTGATTGCATGAGGTTGACTGAGAAGAACTTGGAAAGCTAATCAACTAAGTTAGATACAAGACTCGTGTTTTTGTGATCAAGACAAGCGAAAGATGAAAACTTTTGATGAACGAACTCTTATTTTGAACTGGTTGAATGCGATGTGGACATGACATGCTTGTTGACAATGCTTTGTCTTTTTGTTCAAAGCTCTATCGGTTTCTGCATAGTAGGGATTCTGTTAGTGCTCGCCTTATGCTTGAGCAATAGACATGTAGATGTTCACTTTTGTCTTCGCATTTGTCTTTTCATGCATGATTGTTTTGGTAGGGCATTGGCTAGCCTCTTAGTTAGTAGAAGTTATGGGAGTCTCGTTTCCTTAGGGGATATGCTGCCAAAATTTCTGCTAAAAACTCAAAGTTCGTCAAGTTTCAGAGGTGTCAACTAGGATAGGATATAGTTAGGCTTTGGAGTCAGTAGAAATTCTTGAAGCCTTCCTTTCTCAAGGAAGTGCTGCCGAAATTTCTACTGGAACCAATGAGTTAGTTTATTTTCAGATATCTTCTGAGTCTCAAGTTTTTCTTTTTAGATTTGGTATAGTAAATATTCTTCGAGCACACTTCCCTAAAGGAAGTGTTGCCGAAATTTTTGGGATTTTCATATCGTTAACGGACGCTACTACTAAGTAGCTTAGAGTGCGATACGGAGTGGAACTCCGTTAACTCGATAGGCGATGCCTGTCTTGATCTTTGTGACGCAGGTCATTGCTACCTGCAAGTGTTCTTCGAAGTCCTGAGCTTCATCAACTTCTACTATCAGTTTGATAGCAAGTCGGTTTGTGACTCAACTCCTACCCACCATGATACCCACTCCCATATGTTTGTGACCCTATAGGCGAAAGGCATTTCTGTATGAAAGAAAACGTATCCTTGAACCTCTCTTGAATGGCCATGCAAAAGTTGGGTGAATCAGGATGAGCGAGTATGCCTGTGTTGAATGGGGTTCGGAAAGAGGCGTGTGGGATATGAACCTGGGAGAAAAAGGGGTTGACCACGTTTTGTGGCATCTATGTATGGATTTTCACTGGGTTTCATGTGGGTGCAGGTACGTATGGGAGCGAGGGCTTGCTCTTGGATTTAGAGTGATATGGATGAATGAGTACAGCGTGTGAGTAACAACGTTCAACTATGGCTGTGAGAATGACTCTTCCTGATTTCCTCCGATACTCCCCGTTTTTTTTTTTTTTTCCACTTCTGCCTCACGCATCAAGCAAGCAGGCAGGAGTGGCTGAGCGCAAGGATTAACGCTCGATCCTCCATCTAACTGGGACTTAGTTTGGGTATGGTGAATTGCTCGCCAACCCGTGACTACTCTTATTTTCTTTCCTCGGGGAAAGGACGAGCGAATTCCGTCTCAAAGGGGTTTCGCTTTTTAAATTATTAGTCGGACATTGGTCCTGAGGCTGGAATTCGAGGTCCTTGTCCAGGAACATCCCAGTCTCTAGTCGAGCACAAAAGGGTTTCCCCCTTGAGCCGGGCTTACGTCTCTTGCTTATGGTCACCCACTTTCTAAAAGACAGGGGCGCCGCAAGGGCTGAACGGCTTATCCTTCAGCCGTGCAATATCGTGAAGGAAGAACCGTCCACGACATTTCACATTCGACACTTGAGTGTTGTACGCAACCCCGAAACCCATGAAAGGGTGCGCGAATGTGGGTAACACATGAAGCATCGCCATGACAACAGATCAAGTGAGTACACATGACTGTGTGTTACATTTCCCTTAGCACCTGCATTCTTTTTATGCAACTCCACGTAGGCCTCGCTCAGTCACATTGATCTTCTAGGTTATGCGTCATGACATATGAAAAAGGGACTAGGCTTATTTCTTTGTCTGAGTTGGTTTGTTTTCTTGCGTATCGCGTGATTGAGTTAGGATGTCCTAGTCGACCGACGCTGAACCGCACGTGGGAGATCAACACCCCAGCGTGACAATTCGCGTACGGGTCCGAGCTAGGTGTGGACCGCGCATACCCCCTATGCTACAACATACGAGAAACGCCCTCGGTTGGGCCACCTCCGAAATTGCAAGTAAAAACTTTTGTGTGTGGTTCAGTAGCTCGGCAGGGATACACCCACCCAAAGGATGGTGACAGCTCCCGCGAGACTCGATGGAGGTATAGCTGGCGCGCTCGGCCGAAACGGCTCCGCCGCTTTTTTCTTTTGTGAAGCGACTTGCGAATTCTGCCAATCCTGCGTGACGCGGCCGAGAAGGTTCCCCCAGGGGGGACCGTGCGCTTGACAAGTGGCGCCATTGCCGCGAATCTCGGCTGCCTACCGAGGTCCATAGTGAACGGACTTAGGTTTAATGCAGAACGATGATCCAGGCAAAACGACATTTTTTGTGATTAGAGAGTGATATAGTGTGTTTTTGACTTTGATATTGTCGTAGGAACCTAAGGAAATATCCCTGCGAATCTCGTCAGACCCAAGGAAGGGCCTCACTATTTTGTTTAGGACGCTAAGTGTTAGATCTTGGCGTGATGTGGGTGAATTTGTAGTATGATTGTATGGTGGTGTGACTGCCTGTGAATGGGTGTTGAACGTTTAAAATAAGTACTAGGACACAACCTCTCGAGGTTGAAGTTGGACTGAGTATAAGGGAAAGTGGAAGTTGTTAGAGCAATTAGGTTGACCTTGTATGAGTGTGGTATATTGACAGGGAACTGATTGTCGAAAAGCAAGATGGCGGATGATGAGCTTAATGAGGCCAATGGCGCGGGTCAGCGACCGGTTACGTTGGGTCAGCTGGTGACTCTACTGGATGGGCGCGCGGTGACGCGTTCCAACATCCCGAAGGTTCAGATCTTCCACTTTAAAGGAGAGAAGGTGTCAGAATGGCTTGAGTTGCTCGAGCAAATTACTGACGAAATGACAGAGGAGGAGAAATTTTGTCGAATCTCTAAGTACGTATGGTGGGTGATGCGGCCAAAAGTTATGCGGGTAGCAGCTGAGGCCGCAAGCAATTGGGGGAATTTTAAGGCGGAAATGGAAAGGCGATATCAGTTAGGGGATGGCCTCCTTACAACGGAGGACTTGGAAAGATTAGAGAGGTCTGATTTCATGACGGTTGGTGCCTTCGCGACAGCGTTCGAGAAGATGGCGAGGAAGGTTCCAGGATTGGCCGAGGAGTCCCAATGTGCCATCCTCTTGAGCAATTTCACGGAGTGCGAGAGTGTTTCTCTGACGAGAAGAGGAGCTATAGGGCGGAAGTTGACATGGGAGACGGTGAAGCAAAGCTTGGCGGATGGAGAGTTGGACCAGGTATACCAGTTCCAAATGAAACAACAATGGCAGAAACGAAAGACCCGAGTTGTGATTGAAGGAGCCGATATTAACCTTCAATTACTCATTGCAGATGGGATAGCCAAGTACCAAGCTGACCAGCAGAAAGCGATAGGGAAACAAGTATTGACAGTGACCCAGTCACAGGCTAGAGCCTTGAAGAAAGGAAAGGTGGTAGAGCAAGTGGAAGATGATGATGAGGATGAGGAAGAACCGACAAAATTGATGAAGAGTCAGAGGAAGGCAAGGAACCAGGCCGCAGGTGGCCAAGGTTCGGGGAAGAATGCAGGAGTGCAGGCCACCGCGCCGGCCCAAGTAAACACGAATCTGGCGAGTACAAGTGGGGCACCGCCGCAGGGACCAGTGCCGCTTGGACCTTGGCCAAAGGCCATTCCTCCTGTTTGGCCAAGGTATAGTCCATATGGCCCATGACCGTTCTACAACCAAGTCGGGTCACCCGTAGGAGGGCCGACTGCGCATGCTGCATACCCAGTGCGCCAGCTTAAGGGGTAAACTGGCAAGGAGGGGGTCAACAGCAGCCGCCAAAAGCCCCGCCTCAGGTCAACCAGCCCGATCAAACGACGGGTCAGGGACGATGACAAAGCCAAGGGGGTAATGGGCAAAGCAGTCAGGGCCGAGGCGGTGAAGGCCGTGGGCGAGGATACGGCAATGGTGGACAAGGTGGTCAAGGGGACGTACGCGGAGGCAAATGACAGACCAAGGTTTGATTGGAGGAATGCATATGCCATCATTGTGCATTGAAAGGGCATACCTTCAAGTTTTGCCAGATTCGGAGAGTAGATGAGAAAAATGGTCTTATCTCAACGAATATGGACGGGGATGTTTATGATAAATATGGAAAATATATTGACCTCAAAATCCCTAGTGGTATGCGAGAGGAGGCACTTCGTCGACCCGAACGAGGTCTGCCACCACCGGCTATGTTTTGGCTCTGGCGGGAGGAAGAAGTAAGGCCAAAAATAAAGGTAGAAGAACTTGCCAATGATGAGTCGGATAAGGAGACCAGGGAGGAAGAGCCAGTGGTGATAGAAGTCGAGGAGGAAGAGGAGCCATATTGCCAGGAAAGGGTGAGTGAGACCATGAAGCGAATGGAAGACCTTATGGAGAAAATGCAGAGATTGAACTTGAAACCATTTGCGAAGAAGTGGCAAAACCAATGGTTTTCTTATTAGGCCCGGAGACGGGGCCATCAAGTGCTAAGCCGACTTGTAAGACCTTGGGCTGAACCCCACGATCATGCATTGCTTTTCAACAACCTCGAGGACAGCCCACGGTCCCACAAGCCGTATGCACAAGGAGTAAGAAGGGGGACCCCAGTAGCAGTCAGGAACCTCCGAGTGAAAGTCAGCCACGAGAGAAGCAGCCAGTCATTGACACGGGGGACGAAGGCAAGGAGGATGAGGAAGATGAGCGGCTAAGGAAGGAAGAGGAAGAACAAGCTGCTCAACGTGCAAAGAAAAGGAAGCCGGAGGATAAGCCAGAGAGAGCAGCGAGAGGAGAAGGCTCGCGAAAGCAAAATTATGCGGTGCCATTGGAGGATGGCCTGAATATTGAAGCCATGGTTGATAGGCTTCTGGAAGGGCACAATGACCTGCTCAACTTAAAGGATATCCTTGCCTTTGCGCCTAAGCTTAGGGAAGGATTCAAAATGCGGCTTTCTCGTCGAAGGGTGGCGAGTGTAAGATTGGGAGATCTCATTCCAGTTGAGGCTCACTGAGCGGTTCCTGGAACAAAGATGGATTGGAAATCAGTCGGGACCGAGAGCGTGAACCTGAGTATAAAGGGTAAGCCATGTAGTGGGATACTTGACACAGGAGCGGAAATGAACATCGTCAAGGAATCTTATGCACTCCGTTTGGGAATTAATATTAATCGGATGGACTCAGGCTTCCTCTATGGTGCAACCGGGAGGACTCCTTTTACTGGGACGGCCTCGAACGTGTTGATTGAAATCGGGAAAGTTAAGGTGTGGTCCTGCTTCTTCGTTATGCCCGATTTGGACCATCCTTTTCTGTTGGGAAGGTCATTCCTCTGCCGCACTAAATCTATGATACTTAACAAGCATGACGGTACAATGTACGTTACCTAAGCGATCCTGTCTGCGGCAACTACGAGATCATCACATGTCACAATACAGGGCCTCGTAGCATGAGGAACAGGCCAAACCCAAGCTCCTTTACCTTTGAAGAGTCAGAAGGGGAGAGGAGGAGATTAATGGGCGAGGACGAAGAGGATTGTGAGCCTATTGGCGAGATGTGTTTGAGCTTAACAAGCATCAACGATGCCATGGAGATAGTGTCAGCATATGGGATGGCAGATCTCATTGTCGTATAGGCTTTGAGAGAGAGAATAGTGGAAGATTCTGGCGAAGGAGAAGTGAAGCTCATATATCGGTTGTCGGTAAGGGCAGGTGAGTCAGGGGTACCGCAGAGCCGTGCTGCAAGTCAGACTTTTTTAGGGGTGGGCTCAAGCAATGCTCCAAAAGGAGTCCAAAAGGAGGTATAAGCGCGTGACTGAGAAGAGTCACCCCGTTCCTGTGCTCATAACTGCGGAAGAAGAGTTCTACGATGAGCAGGAACGCGAACTGATACGGAAAATGAAGGAGGATGCAGAACATGGGCTGTGTTGTATCAATGAAAGGACCGAGGAAAATTTGATAATAGGGGAGCCAGGATTCCTCACGCCACAAAAAAAGGCCCTTATGGTGGAAGCAATGAAAGAGTGGCATCGAGCGTATGCGTTTGACGATGATGAGCGTGGGCGCATCGATGTGGATAAAGTTCCAATGATTCGGATCCATACTGTGCCGCACGTGCCATGAAACTTGCGAGGGTCACGCTATCCTAAGCCGACAGAGGAACGGAGAGCAGTCGACTACCTGGATGACAAGATTCATTCTCATGTTACCGACTATTCAAGTGGGCCTTACGCATCGCCGTGGTTCTGCTTTATCAAGTCAAACGGTACCCTGAGGTGGGTACAGGACCTTCAGCGCCTGAATGCAGTAACGATACGAGATGCGGGAGGTTTGCCGAACGCAGACGCGCTGTTAGAATCCTGTGCTGGGCAACTTATCATTTCCTTATACCTGTATTCAGGGTACGATCAGTTCCCGGTGTATCCGCCTGATAGGCCTATGACTGTGATGCATACACCAAGAGGACTAATCCATATGAACGTGGCGCCACAAGGGTGGACGAATGTTGTGGCGATGGTGCAGAGGCATATGCTTCGCGTTATGCAGACGGTCAGTCGTACATTGACGCTTTGGCCGTGAAAGGGCGGAAGAAGAAGGATGAGACAGAGGTTATGCCTGGGGTAAGGAAATTCGCCTGGGATCATATACAAAATATTGCTTGGGTTCTTGACATTCTGAAGGATTACAACCTTACCTCAAACGTACTGAAGTCGAGACACTGTATGCGGGAGGCGACCATATTAGGCTTCGTATGTAACGAAAATGGTCGTCACCCTGACGTCAAGAAGACTAATAAGATACTCGAATGGTCGGTGCCATTCGAATCCACTAGTGAAATTCGTAGCTTCCTTAGGTCATGTGGTTTTTGGCAAGTCTTCATTAAGAGCTTCGCAGAAAAAACTGAGCAATTGAGGAAGCTTGTGAGGAAGGATCAAGAATGAGAATGGGATGAGAAGTAGGAAGGAGTGGTAAGTGGTTTGAAAAAGGATTTCAGAGAAGGAGGTCTAGTCTTGGGAGTCCCTGACTTCGAAGCAACGCCAATACATCCTTTCATCGTGGAGACCGATGCGGGGCCTACAACCTTGGGTGGCGTTCTGATCCAAACTGATGCGAATGGCGAGGAGTGGCCTTTGAGGTTCGAGAGTCGAACCTTGAATGACACTAAGTGGAACTACTCGCAGTTCAAGCGGGAGACACTTGCAGTTCTCCACTGTCTAAGGGTGTTCCGCAACTACCTTTTCGGAAGGAGGTTTGTGCTAAGAGTGAATCCGACCGCGCTGGCCAGCTCATTAAAGAACTATGCACTGACTGACCCAACTATTGCCAGGTGGCTCACGTATATATGGATGTTTGACTTTGAGTTGGAGCGCATACCTAGGAATAAGAATCGGGTTGACGAGGTTAGTCGGATCAATTAGGATAAGTCTGGCGGAAGCTAATGAGGATATACCTCCGGTGGACGCATTCCTCAATGAGGAGGAGGATGTGAAACTCCATATTAATGCGCATGCTGTTGGGGTCAGCAGAGTCCTTGTACAAGGGCAGTTTGCTTTTCTTGCTCCCGCAGGGTACGTAAAGCGTGCGGATATAGTCCTCAAGGACTTCGAGGAGGAGGATCCTTGGGGAGGAAAAGGGGTCGAGTGAATGGCAAAGCTGGCATTGGCAGAGACCTTCCAAGTGGGAGAAGATCCGTTGGCCATTGAGAGTGGAACTTACTCACTCGACACACACGCGAAGTATGTGGTGGATGTCAGTTTCCTCGTCAACTCAATCGTCCAAGTGCACGAGGATGGAGAAGGGAGTCGAGACCCTCTTAGGGATATGGAAGAGGACGAGTTCGAGGAAGGAGAGATAACGAAAACTTTTCGCACAGATGAGTACGAAGGCGTATACCGTGAATTGGACTTGCTTCTCTCATGTGAGATCAGAGAGAGAGAGAAGCAACCAAGGAGGTGCTCGAGATGCGACCTCGCTTTTAGTCCGAGATGGACATCTTTTTATAAGAAACGAGGTTGGCAACCCGAGGAGGGTGATCTGCGGTCGAAATCATCATATAGACGTTATAGCCGCATTTCATGATGGACCCGCAGGCGGCCACAGAGCATTTGTCTTGACGTATGCAAAGGCGCGAGAACTTTACTACTGGGAAGGAATGAGTGAGATGATTCGCAAGTATTGCGAGTCACATGTTTCATGTCAAATCAGGGCATCGACTATGTATAAGGAGCCATTGCACCCACGGATTGTACGTGATGCGGGGGCAGTGGTCCACCTGGACCTATTGGCAATGCCTAAGGGAGTAGGCGGCAACAACTACATCTTCGACGCACGGGACAATCTTACGGGGTTTGTCAATGGGCGAGCCATTCGCAGTAAGATAGGTGAAACATTGGTTTTGTGTATCTCATAGTACTTCCTCTGATACCCTTTCGTAGTAGAATTCGTGATGGACAGAGGGTCAAAATTCACCTGTGGAGAAGTGAGAACCTTGTTTCAGGAGTATGGCGTTCAAACCAACTATACAACTAGGGCACACCCGCAGGCGAACGCCCCAGTTGAAAGAGGACATACTACCATTACGAACCTACTAGCGAAATGGACAAATGGCAGAGAAAACCAATGGCCTAAGCACCTGCGCGCAGCCTTCTTTGTGGAGAATATCACGATTAAGAGATCCACGAAGTACGCGCGAGCAACACTATGGTACGGACGACATGCCACACTCCCGATAGAGAGCTTTTTGAAGACATGGAGGAGGCAGGATATGGAACGTACCCTGTCATTTGAGGAATTGTTGGATTTGCGGGCCTGACAAGTTGACATTGCAAAAGAGAGGATCCAGGAAGCGGCAGATCGAGTAACGGACAATCGACTGGGGGATAAGGAGAGGTGGGATCTTCTCCCACGAGTAAGGAAAGAACCATTAGAAGTTGGAGACGTGGTGTTGCTGTACAACTCATTGCTAGAAAAGCAGTGGTCGCGTAAGTTGAACAAGCGGTGGCTAGGCCCATATCGCATTAGACGGTGAGGACAACATGGAGCGTATGAGATTGAGGAGCTTAACGGCACGCCGTGGAGAGATTGGGTCTCAGGTTCGAAATTGAAAAAGTTCAAGGCACGAGACTAAGGTAAGGGTGACAGAAAAGCACCGCGAGTAAAAATAGTATCTGATTCATCATCTTATTAGATGGTACTCTGCATTAGTGATAGGATAGGATTGTGTGTTAGTATCTAGATAGGTCTTATGAGTCTTAGTTCGTAAGTCAGATCAGTCGTTTGAGAGTATGAGAGATCTGCTTGGGTCAGTCAGTACAGGCATTCCCCTTTTTCTCCTGTGCTTACTTCTGTTTCCTCTACCGTCTGTCCTTCTTATTTGTGCAGGGTTGGCTTTTCGAAGTTGGCCACTATTTGGAGGGGCGGGAGGATGGCCGAACAGGAGGATGAGCGACTAACTGATTTCGCTCAGATGACAGAGAGGGTTAGGGGTACTGAAACTATGAGGAGCGTGTGGCTCAGATCATGAGGGAGTCATTGGATTGGAGGCAGTTTGCCAGGCGGATGCTGAGATTGCGGCCTCAACCCATTGATCGACAGTGTAGGCCCATGCGGTTTGATGGGGCTAACCTGGATGAGTTCCTTGAGGTTTTCATCATTTTTGGGGATGGGCAGAGATGGACTGAGGCACAGAGGGTTAGGCAGGTACGACACTGGGTTGTTCCGGAACTTAGACATGAGGTGAGTACCATGTCACACACAATGCAGACTTGGGCGGAGCTTATAGCGACGCTTAGAGGGACGTTCATCGTGGGTACACGACGCAGGTTGCACAGAGAGGTTGAGGATTACATCCCGAAGCTCAGGATACGTCCACGAGCGCAGCTAGAGAGGGATGAGGTCGATGAGAGGCGATTGCGACAGAGGCAGAGAGAGAGTGAGCAGCCAGGGATCCCACGCAGGCCTAGGACAGGCAGGCCGAGGACGTCAGGATAGAGGGGAGGATCTAGAGGAGAGAGATCAAGTGTTGACTATTGGTATTGAGAGGGTCCTCCC